TGGCGGGTCCGCATTGTCCATCTTGTCCAGTGGCCTGCCTCCCCCAATGGCCTGCAGCTGAGCTGAACAGGCTAGTCATGGACTGATTCTCCCCTCTCTTACACTCCCAATTTCTGGGGGTCAGGTTTAGGGACACCAGAGAATGGGGTTGAACCCCTGAGCGTCTTGGCTAATAGCCGCTGATGGCTCTGTCCACCATGAATTTATCCAATTCGTCTTTCAACCCCATTATGCTTTCGGCCTTGACAACATCCCATAGCAAGGAGTTCCACAGGTGAGGAGTGCATTGTGGGGAAAAGCACTGTCGGGCGGGGGAGGGGGGATAAGGCTATCTGAAGTTACTCTCGCACGGCAAGGGCAGGCGGTACAGGCAGATTTACTGTTCTGGAGTCAATGGAGGAAACTCTTAGACAATCATTTCAACCCCATTATGCTTTCGGCCTTGACAACATCCCATAGCAAGGAGTTCCACAGGTGAGGAGTGCATTGTGGGGAAAAGCACTGTCGGGCGGGGGAGGGGGGATAAGGCTATCTGAAGTTACTCTCGCACGGCAAGGGCAGGCGGTACAGGCAGATTTACTGTTCTGGAGTCAATGGAGGAAACTCTTAGACAATCAGACCTTTTGGGTCAGGGTTGCTGGGGGAGTGTGCCACGCTCTGGGCCGCATGGAGGGTTGGGGGCGTGGCATGCTCACTGCCTTGGCCCCGCCCCTTCAGAGAGCCCAGAGCCGGGCGTGGCTGCCAGCTCCCCTGCCAGCAAATGATCTAGCCCAGTGCGCTCAGTCTATGGGTCAGTCAGTCCGGGGGGCAGCCAATCACTGGAGCCGGCTGGTACCTAGAGGTGGGGCTTTGTGATGGAGTGAGAGTCCCTCCCTGCCCCGGCTCATTTCGCACGAGCCACCAAGCAGCCCACAGACGGTACCAACGCTCATCACCACTGGCCTGGCTCAGACCTGGACGCCTGCTCGCTGCAGAGCCCAGTGCCCCAGCGCATCACACCACTGCAACCGAGAACAGCGCAATCCCATATCCCTTCCCTGTGTCTGGCTCCCCAGCGAGGTTCCTTGTGTCCAGGGCCCCCTGCCGCCAGGCTGCCCCACGCATGCTTGTGTAAGGCCTCGTGTGGCCGTCCCTGGGCTGGGGTCCGGCGCTCAGTCTGTGATGGCTGATGAGTTGGCAACTCTGCATGGAGCAGCCCGTGTGTAGCGAGTCAGCAGAACAGAACCCAGCACTTCCTAACCCTGCTCCCTTTTCTCTGCAGCTCGTGCTCAGGGCCAGCCCTGACGCCAGCTCTGCACACTGCCCACTGTACCTCGCAGATCGAGATAAGATCAATTCACTCTCAGCTCAGGCTCTCTCGGTCCATCAAACCACCCACCCAGCTCCGTTAGGAGACTTCACCACTCAGCATCAAGCGAGTGCAAACAAGCGTTATCCCAAATCTCCAGGGGCACAAAGGGTTCTGTGTCTCATCTGCTCCCCGTGGCACAGTCCTCACATTGCTCTGGTATTTATTGTCTTGTTAAAGTTCAGTCTCATCCCGGGTAGGGTGGGGGCGTGTGAAGATCCTGCAAAGATTCTGGGGCCCTGGCGCAAAGGCAGATGGGAGATTTGCTTACCCTCGTTTGCATTTTTTATAGACTTTGTAGATGCTTTCTTCAGACAGCCCGTATTTTTCTGAAATCTGCAGGAGAAAACACGACCCTTCAGTCTCCGCACGTGCACAAGGAAATTCCAGCAGATAAAGCGAAAGGGATCTTTGCCTTTGAGTCTCTGCCCACTGGAAGATTTTTTCCCCACCTCCTTATAAAAATACCCCTGAGCTATGACTGGGTTTACAACGGGGGCCTGGCCTTCTGCTGGGGCAGGAGCAGGAGACCGGGGGCTACTCTTGGTTCCACCATTAATGTGGCACGTGACTGTGGAAGCCACTTCTGTGGTTCCTTGCACCATCCGCTCTATTTAGGCTGCAGCCCTGACCCCCACATGCCAGGAGAGAGATGCATGTGCCTGTGCAGAACCGCAGCACCTTAGTGCTTGGTTTGCTGCTGCCCCTTGCCAACAGAACGCGCCTGCGTCTGGCTCTGCCTGCCCTGACTCCCTGGCAAGCGTGACAAGGCTTCCCGTGGGGGCCTCAGAAGCCCCTGGATGGGCTCTGAGATGGTTTGGGAGGAGAGGGAGCGTTTTAGGCTCGTCCGGCAGCATTTCCCTGAAGGTTCCTTGTCTGCCTGGCTGCTCTGCCATGGGGGGAATCTCCGACCTGACATTCTGCATCCTGCCTCAGCTCTGTTTTAAAAAGCAGCTCCCCTCCCCCCGCCGCGGCACTGCCACCGAGGGACCCCTGCACCAGTGAGGTGTGTGGTTTGTTGGAGCCACCCCCCAAGAGGCGCTCGGGTTATCAGGGATTCCTCAGATAGTCATCACAGAAACGCGCCCTGGCTGCAGATCGCCCGCAGGTAGAGCCAGGGAGCGGGGCGGGACGCTTTACAGCCGAGAAGCCGAGCAGGCGGCGATGAAAGGAGACTCCTAGGCCTCGCGCGCTGCCCTCTGAACAAGTCTGCGCTGCTAAGGAGCGTGCTCGGGAGAGACCCCGCCTTGCACGCCAGGGCCCCCCCCCCGCCGGCAGCTCACTCCCTGCGGAGGAATTCTCAGCACCAGCCCCCGCCCCGGGTGAGGCTGGCAGGAGAGAAGCCGTGCACGGTCCCTGTGGGGAGCCCCCGACGGGAAGTGAACGCCGCACCCGAGCCCGCATTTCCTAGAACCCTGCGGGGGGGGGGGTTAAATAAAGTCTGGGGGTCCTGGTTGCTGCCTTCGCTGCTACCGTGGCAATGGCCAGAGCCCTGGGCCCTTTAAATCGCTGTGGCACGTGGACCTACAAACTCCAGCGTGACCTGCACGGGCCAGGCAGCGCGGAAGGCTGGCTGGGGAAACCTGCCCCTTTCCGGGAGCTTGGAGCCAGACCCCCACGCACACACCTTGCCCAGCGGCCTGGCAAGTCTGTGGCAGCCCTGCCCCGCTGCCCAACGCTGGTTAATTGCAGTTCGTCTACAGGGCACAGTTGCAGCAGGAAACTTACAGCGTTTCGCAGTCCCTGGAGGTCTGGCGTCTTCAGCATGAGAGCGTCGAACACTTCCTCGCACTCCCGCCGCACGTACAGCAAGACTGGGACAGACAACAGGCAGCGTTTAAACCACTGGCGGCGGGTGTCGGCAGCGCGTAGCCAAAGCTCGCAGGAGCCCGGCTCTATGCAGACCCTGAGCGAGCTGGGCCAAGCGACAAGCCCCTTGCAATAGGGACGGAATCCCCCTGGGGTTATGGGCGGTGGCTCGGGGAGTCCCAGGCTAGGGACGGGTGTGAGGCCGGGTCTGTTTGCACAGGGCCTAGCCCCATGGGCTGCGGGGCGCTGAGCCCTCTCAGTACCAAGCATACCTCTCTTGGCATCTTCCTCTTTGGCCAGCTTGGAAGGCGACGGCGCGAACTCATCTGAGAACGAGGGGCAGCTCCGTTTTAACGGCATCCTGAGGAAACACGACCGGGGCCGTCAGGCAGACGTGTGACGGGAGCACACGGTCCAGCCACTAAAGCTGACGACAGAACCCATCCTGGCACTGGACTGGGCCAGGACCCGCCCGCTTTGAGTGCCAGAGGATCGCAGGCAGTGGGGGGCTAGGTTTGACATCCCAGGCAACAGCCACGTCCCAGAATGACTGGACCTGGGGCAAGAGCCGTGGATGTTAACCAGGGTCTTTCCACCGACACCAGTGGGCTCTGGACCAGGCCAGGGTGGGCGTCTGAACTAACCACCGCAGGGATTTGGAAGCAGGGGTCTGGCCAGTTCAGCTTCCTTTGGCTACTGGGGCCCACCCAGGGATCGTTCTCATTTTTAAAACGTTGCCTTCCCGAATCGGCCACGATAGCCACAATGCCCCCCAGCCAGGGGCTCTTGGTGGTGAAGGAGAGGTGCCAGCAGCCTGCGTGTGGAAGCAGCGTCCCTTTCGCGCCGGCACTCATTCCTTCCCGCACAGGGCTGCAGGCAGCTGGCTCGTGGGCAGCCGGGTCAGAACAGCGACTGGCCCAGCGAGGCGAGAAGGAGAAATTCCCTCTCGCCGGGGGGCTTTTCCTACCTGTTTACGTCGGTCGGAACAGCAGCAGCAGGAAGCACCTTGAAACAAACAGAGAAGAGTTTTATTGAGCCCTGCTCGCCTTCGCTATCCCGGCCCGATCCTGTCCTTGGCCTCTGCTGTGGCGGGCCCAGGGGAGGGCGCTGCGCAGGGCATGCCATCCTGGAGCCATCTGAATCCAGGCCATTGTCTTCAGTGGAGCCCGGATTTCAGCCTTCGGTTCTTAGCTTGGCCCCTGCTGTGTGGGCTGGCGCGGAGCCTGGCACCACTTGGCATTCGCCTGTTTCCATGGGAGGAGCCTGCCCGGCCGCAGGGCGTTCAGCAGTCTGGGGGCCACGCCAGGCCTTGCTGGGCCGGGCCCTGGGGGATGCAGGCCCTGAGAAGGGTGCCCTGGGGGGGGCACGGCCCCACTGGAACGGATTCATTCGCGGGGGCTGCTCTCAACCCAGCTGGGCTTTTCAAAGGCTGGAGCTTTGCGAGATGATTTTCCCCCTTAGAACCTCATTTTCCTTGGGAACGCCCAACTGAAGAGCTGAGGAAGCGAGAGCCTGAGGGGGCCTCGTCCAGCCAACAGCCCAGCATCCGTGTCTTGTCACGACCCCCGGGAGCTTAAATCCTTATGGATCCTGAGCCCCCCACCCTCGGTTTCTCAGCAGGTTGCTGCGCGGCAGCCCACGTTCTCCTGTGCTCCTGCCTCCACACCGCCGCCCCAAATGTCATCTGGTAGCAAGACGACGAACTGTTGGGGCTGAATACGCTCGTTTTGGACAAGCGATGGCCTCCCGGAGCGGGACGGATCTGTCCTGACCTCCAGCTCTTCCCAGCGGGGGGAGGGCCGAGTGAAGGGGGGGATATCCCGGGAGGGCGGTGTGCCGAATGGATTACTTGCTAGGGGTCATTTTCTGCAAATGCTTTTGCTCATTCCAGCTATTCAAGCCACTGGGCAAGTTGCAGGAAATACTCAAATTAAATCTCCCTTGACCCTGAAATTGCTCATTAATAAAGCTGATGCTGTGGGATTTTTGCTGCTGTACAAGATTCAGTTAGCGCCTGTCTCTAGGGCCTGCTCCACTGAGCCAGCTTTCCAGCGGTAGGTCTGGGTGTAGCGGGGGATGTTTTCACAAGGACTCACCACACCACATCGCTGCAGATTTGAAAAATGCACATTTGGAATAAACAAGACGGGCTGGGTTTCTAAATCCATCTCCGGCCTGAGGAATGTGATTTCGTTCCCTCGGAAGCCCGTCAGCAAACAGCCTTTCACACCTGCGGGTACAACGGGAAATCTCGTGTCAGGGAAGCTTTGCTAGTCCGCAGCACCACACCCGGGGGACCCGCCGTGCTATGACAGAGATTCGGGTGCCTTCCAAGAGCCCAAAGCGTGAAGAGTTATCGTGTGTCAGACACAAGGACAGAGCCCGAAGTCTGACCTGCAGATCCACGGGGTCACCCTGTGCAAGGTTTGGGTGCGTCATGGCCTTTACTCTGAAGGGTTCTAAAAGGAGCTTTTGGGGGGCTAGCACGGGAATACATTGCCTAGGGCAGCGTTTCCCAGGGGTGCTCCGGGGAACCCCAGAGTTCCGCGAAGCGAAAGTAAGGGTTCAGCAAGAACACGGCACAGCCTCGCCCCCTCTTAAAGAGACAGAGTCTATTTTGCAGCTTTTGTTGTTGTTGTTCGACCAATTCTGGTGGGTCTTTTATTATTATTTATTTATTTATTTTTGTTTTGCTTAACAAATTCTACCCTGGCATTCCTCGGGGATCCTTGAAATTCTTTTACGCTGAAAAGGGTTCCGTGGCCAAATAACATCGGGAAACACAGGCCAGGGGGTTGTGGAATCCCCATCCCTGGAGATATTGAAGAGCAGGCTGGACAGACACCTGCCAGGGATGGTCTAAGGTGCTGGGTCCTGCTGCGAGGGCAGGGGACAGGACTCGATGCCTCCCGAGGTCCCTGCCACTCCTAGGATCTGTCCTTGGAAGGGCCATTTGTGCTGCAGAAAGGCGCTCGCCTGCCTGGTGGGGAGGAGCGGAGGGTGGAGCCTGCCAGACCAAAGCCCTCGGCCACAGGGATGAGCGAGGGACCAGCGAACCCAGACACCAAATGAACACAGGCAACAAAACTAAACCAGGAAGGGCGCAGGCCTCAATGCGTGACCCGGGAGGAGACCCGGAGCATGCCCCAGGCCAACTCCAGAGCCAGAGGGACTGTGCTGGGACACAGCCATGGACACGAGGCCTGAAACGAGTCCCCCAGGGGCAGAGAGGCCCCCTGCTCACCCAGCTCCCTCCTCCGGGCTGGTGGATGGCTGAGGTGGCGCCTGCCAGGAGCAGGCTAACAGTCCTGGGGAGACCACAGAGCAGGCCAGCAGGGCCCGTCTCCCCGCTGCGCTCGCAGGCCTCGCTCAAGACTTGAAGGAACCGGCTGCCGGGGCCCGTTCCCCAGCCCCACGGCGCATGTGACCACGAGGGGCTTTAACGTTTTACGTCCCTAGTACAGAGCCTGAGCCGCCCGCCTGCCCCGCGTTCCTGACAGAACAAGCCCCCGGAACAGCCCTGGGCAAGCACAAAGCCGCACTGGCAGAATATTGCGCTGGGGGAGGAAGGGCGCGGCTGTGGGAACGAGCGTAACAAACCCTGTTCTGCACTCACATTGCGAGGGCAGCCCTGGGCTTGCCCCTTCCTCCACGGTGCCCAGCAGGGCTAGCGGCCTCTCGCCCCCCGGCGCAGGCGCAGCGAGCCAGGGTCTATTTGGCCATCTCGGCACATCGCTCCAGGCCGCCCCATCTCCCTGCTGGGCACTCGCTGCCCTCCGGCTCGGATGCCCGTGTCACGTGGCTTGGGCAGAGCTCTTCCTGGCGTGACCCGAACCTGGGCCCTTGGGAGACTGAGGCACAAGGCCTCTCCCATGGGAGCTCCAAGGCAGCTGGCTCTCAGCTCAGGCTGCAGAGCAAACTCCCCTCTCTGTACGTGGTCTCAGTGCCACTCCTGGGACAGTGCGCCACCCCGAGCGGGGGGAAGGGGGGCGGGCACTAGCTGTGCTTAGCCACTCACGTGGGGCCTGACCAGAGCCCAGACTCCTATGGATTTCAGTGGGCTTTGGATCAGGCCCCTCCTTCCCGCCCGGCCCTCAGTCCTTGTACTAACCGTTACCGGAGTCCAGGCATTTCCCTTTCCTTCTGAACTGCTTGCGCTCGTCATCTCGCATTTTCCTCTCTGCTCCCTGCAGGGAAGGCCAGGCAGCAGTTAGCCACTTCACACCAAACACCCTGGGAAACTGAGGCCCAGAGGGCTCAGAGACTCACCCAAGGCCAAGGGAAGACCCGGTGTCAGAGCTGGGATCAGCGCGGGGGTGTCCAGATGCCCAGGTCTGGGCCCAGACACGTCTCCCCTTTACTTTTTAACACGCTAAGATCAGGCTGAACCCCCTGCAGGTGTCGGCAGAACGGGGCCTCAGCAGAGAATCTGGCCGTTGGGGGTTTATTGGACGGTGGCCGACCCGGTCAGGCCTGTGTCTGGATGGAAGCGCTGGGCTGGCACAGGAGCCAGGCTCTGTGTGTGCGGCCATGGCAAGATTTGCCAAGGTCCAGTCAGACCCTGGCCGGACGGGTCAGACCAAAGGAACCTCGCCCAGGAACCTGTCGCCCCAGAGGGAATGAACAGAACCGGGAATCAGAGGCTGAATCTCAGGAAAAGCCTTTAAGGACTGAACTACCAGGGGGCATCAGGGCTCCAAGGGGGGAGACGCCTCAGACCCGAGTCTAAACATTTGGTAGGACGAGCGGATACGTCCCAGGGCAGAATCCTGCGGAGGCCAGCGATGCCGACAGGAGCTTTGTTCAACTCTATCTCCTGCGAGCCAGACTCACTGGCCAGCTCAGTCTCCTCCCACGCACACGGCTGAGCCGGTCTATTCAGTCCTGCTGTCCCCTCTGGGCTGGGCTGGGCTGGGCTCCCATCGCCCTCCAGCTGCAGGCCCCTTGCTCTCGTGGGGCGCAGTGTCACAGTCCCGGGAAGCAGGGAGACGCGCTACCTTATCGCAGAAGATCTTGATCTGGCAGACGGCTCGGTGCACCAGCCGGGCTGTGCCAGCGCCGCAGTCGTAGGTGTCGATCTGGAGGTTTAGAGGGACGCCTTTCACCCCTTTCTGGGAGGAGAAGTCTGTACTCAGGCAATTCACCCCAATAAACACCTGCCAACAGGAAGGGAGAATGTCACAGCCTGGACGGAACCTGCCACCCCAGGAGTTTAAACGACAGAGGGAGGGACGCAAGCAATGGACTCTTGTGAGAGTCATCCGGCCGCCTTCCCAATTTTCATCCCGCACACACCCAGCCACGCCTCGCCCATCTCGGTCCAGCAGATTCTCTGCTGCCTGCACCGCCTGCCTGCAGCCGTTCCCACCAGCCACTCCCACTCCCGCCGCGCCTCATCCCCACGCTGCTCGGGTGCACACGGCGGGCCCCCGGGCCCCGTACGCACAGACTGAAAAGAAGCCGTTTCTCTGTTGCATGAAGTGTCGTGGGACCAGAGGAAAGCTGAGCGGCACTTGGCGTGAGAAATGCAGCTGCCAGCCCTGTGCCGCTGGCAGCTCCCGGGCCAGTGTGCCGACAAAGTTTCTGGTAACAACTAAATTGTGTTTGGCTGCTGCATCCCGGGCATGTTTCCATCTTCGCCAACTGTGCCTTGGAGACGTTTGCTAACCTCTTGGCTTGTAAAAGAGGAAGATTGCCCCTGGGCTGCCAGCAAGGGCTACTGAGATCCCCGAGCAACGCAGAGTTCGCCCAAGCGGCTAACCCGAGAGACCCACTTTTATTTTGCTTTCAGGCTTGTTTTACCCGGCTTGTGTGTTTGCAAATGCTCCTTTCACCCTCTGCCTGGACACAAAGTCTGCAAGGAGGCCTGCTCTGAGCAGACGGATGGGAGACCAGAACTTCCTGTGGTGCGTCTGGCCAAGACGTCAAATAGATTCTAAGGCCAAAGGCAACCGCTGCAACCATTCAGCTGAGGGCCGGGCCAGGGACTACCACCCGGCTATTCCGGCATCCAACTGGAGGAGGGTTCTTGTTCCTTAATCTTTGGGGTGGGAGGGTTGTTTCCTTTAAAACCGTGGTAGCCAACACGCTAGCCGCTAGCCACGTGTGGCTACTTGGCGGGTTAGGTGTGGCTAGTTGGCTTTACGTTATTTACGCTTCCAGAATAATGTGGCTAGTTCGCTATAGCAATAGCCACTCTAGCAGAACTGGTTGGACACCATGGCTTTACAAAATAACCCCTGCCTTGCCTGAGCGCCCGGACCGCTCTCTGCGGAAAAAGGCTTTCTTCAGCCTCAGTCCCATCGCACTAGTGAAACGGGCTTGTCTGAGCGGGACATGGACCGTTTGGAAGCCCATTGTGAGGCGTAAGGGCCAGAGAATCATAGAATCATAGAATCAGTGGACCGTTTGGAAGCCCATGGTGAGGCGTAAGGGCCAGAGAAGCAGGGGCCTGGTAAATAAACCGGGCCAGGGACAAGAACTCGTTTTGGATTTGAAGCGCCGTTTGTCTCAGCCGAAGGGGAAAGGACGCGCCCCGCTCAGAGGCTGCTGGGCCGTGCCCGAGCCTCAGGAAAGCCCTCTCCGTTCCCACCGCCCTCGGGCCGTACCTTGGCTTCCTCGTTGGCGTTCCACACGAAGGACAAGGCATTGTAGGCCAGCTCCTCGACGTGCTGCACCGTGTTGAAGTTTTCCTTGCAGTCGGCTGAAATGCATCGAACGGGCGATTGAGTCTTTGATGGCAAAACTAGAGTCACTTCGGGGTCCGCCAGGAGGTTTTTGGCCCGGTGTGCATTGGACACGTGCACACAAGATGGGACGTGGGGCGTGACCGTGCCTGTGCAGCGCACGGGAGGTCCCACTGGCTGGAGGACGCCCTTGTGTGCTAGAAAAGGACACCTGCATACGTGCTCAGGGGGCCAGACAGAGCAGGGCACAGCCCGTCCTGGGGTACACTGGCTGTGGTTCCCTGTCCCATCTGGGGGCACTGAGACCACAGCCTGAGCTGAGAGCCAGCTGGCTTCTAGCCCGTGCTGTGGAGGCTCATGCACTAGGCCCAGTTCAGGGGAGAAGGTCGTTCCCATCCCAGGCTTGTACAACTGAACAGGAAAAGGGGAGGGTTTTTCAAAGGGGCCTGAGTAACGGAGGAGTCCAAATCTCAGTGACTTGGCTTCTGCGTGAGATTGGAAAATGGAATTTAGGCTCCTATGTTGTTTAGATGCATTTGAAAATTTCAACGTAACCCTTTAAAAGTAGCCAGGCAGAAGGGCATTGAAGCCAGCAGCTCGTTCTGCACGTTGCATCTCTGCGCATTACAACGGGCAGGGAACACGTGCTAAAAATAGCCCAGAGCGCCCACATATTCAGCGGTCGCCCCGGGAAGGCCCCGCTGCGTACCAACGTCAATGACTCGCTGCTTGGCCGTCGGCTGGCGCGAGTGCCAGTGCTTCCAGAACTTCAGCTGCTCCGTTGGATTCTTTTCATTGTCAAAAACGATCATCACAGTGCTCTGAAAAATAAGCAGACCAGCCCCACGTGAGAACACGCCAGGGGCCAAGCATACTGAGCTCAGAGACAGCCCTCATCATCCACAGGCCTCAGCACACGTTGTATCCTTCTCCCCGTTTTACTGCTGGGGAAACTGAGGCCAGGGCATGGGACAGGACATGACCAAGGCCACATGGTGAGTCAGTGGCAGATCTGGGGAGTAAACTCTTCTGACTCCCAGCTACTGGCTGTAAACACAAAATCACGCTGGGCCCTACTCATTCATTGATGAGGTGAGCTGTAGAGTCCTCCCCCTGTTCTACTGTGTGCATGGTGCTGGAATGGCTACGGGGTACGATAGTTACAGGGTCATTTACTGCTACTAATGCTCTGCTCTTAACCACAATGTTTCCCCCAGAACCTCCCGGCACTTCACACCCATTCCTTGGTGCACTGGCCCATCATGCTGGGGGGAGGAGATGCAGCTTCTAGCCAGGGACATCCTGGAGAACAGCCGGCCCAGCTGCACCCCAGTGGTCATCCAGCTCCTACCTCCGTGGAGCACTGGGCCGTGCTATGGGCGTGGAAGTCGGCTGATTCACCCCTGTGCTGGGGAGGTGGTTTACGCTTCCCCCTTCACGGCGCCATGGTGGCGTGAGCAGAGCACCCGATGGCTGCTCTCACTTGCTGTAATGGCCACAATGGGCCATTGTGGAGGAGCAGGGTTCCCAGGGTGCAGCTCTTGCTTTGTCTACGGGAGCGCCCCCCCCCCCAGGACTCCGCTCGCCCCGTGCCAGGCAGAGGGGCCAGTGTTCCCTGGCAGCCACCCAGGGGAGAGTCAGCTGTTGCCCAGCTGATTGGCGGAGTGCCCACAGCTGGCAGCATGGGTCTCTGCCGGTGGTGCATGGCGGGGAGCGCCCGGTTCCGGGGTATCCCCCTGCGTGAGCAGCGCTAACCCCGGCTCGCCCGTCCTTTCAAACGGGCCGCATGGCACTGACGCTCAGGACCCATCTTAGCCCCCCGAGCATTTTCCAGGCCGCCTTTTGGAAGGTCTGGCTCATCCATTCAGCCTGGGCGCCCGGTGTCAGGGCCCAAGAGTTCGGGTGCTCTGCGGAGAACCCCAGCCCAGGGGCTAACTGGCTTATTGGCGCAGTGGCCTTCAGGTGCGGACACGCTAGAGACCAGGCCGAGACCATCCCCTGCCTGGAGCGTGGCGCGGGGGGCGCGCCGGTGTGCACACACAAACACACTGACTACACACACACACACACACACCTGATGAGACACACACAGGCACTGACCACACATGCACACACACACAAACACACACACCTGACCAGACACACACAGGCACTGACCACACATGCACACACAAACACACTGACTACACACACACACACACACACCTGATGAGACACACACAGGCACTGACCACACATGCACACACACACAAACACACACACCTGACCAGACACACACAGGCACTGACCACACATGCACACACAAACACACTGACTACACACACACACACACACACCTGATGAGACACACACAGGCACTGACCACACATGCACACACACACAAACACACACACCTGACCAGACACACACAGGCACTGACCACACATGCACACACAAACACACTGACTACACACACACACACACACACCTGATGAGACACACACAGGCACTGACCACACATGCACACACACACAAACACACACACCTGACCAGACACACACAGGCACTGACCACACATGCACACACAAACACACTGACTACACACACACACACACACACCTGATGAGACACACACAGGCACTGACCACACATGCACACACACACAAACACACACACCTGACCAGACACACACAGGCACTGACCACACATGCACACACAAACACACTGACTACACACACACACACACACACCTGATGAGACGATGCAGACGCGTGCACACACATGCACACACACACAAACACAAACAGACAGATGCACAGACGCGCGCACACACACTAACATGCCACACACAGATGCACAGATGCGCGCACACACACACAGATGCACAGACACGCGCTCACACACACACATGCAGATGTACAAATGCGCGCACACACACACAGATGCACAGACGCGCGCACACACGCACACACACACACAGATGCACAGACGCGCGCACACACACACACACAGATGCAGACGGGAGTGTCTCTTGGGCCCCTCCCCCAACTGAGCAAGCCAGCGGCCAAGCATCTGGGTTCCGAGTTCCGAGTCCCTAGCCCGTCCCTTGCACCGGGGCCACCCCGCCCGTTTCTCGCCAGGCTCCAGTCTGTGCCCAGGGCAGCCAAGCGCCAGCGTCCTACCTTCACTCTGCGGGAGGACAAGTGTGAACATTTGCCGTCTCCGGCCGCCCTCAGGGTGACGGGGTAGAACTGCCCTTTGTTGAGGTACGCCATGGGCGAGTCCCCAGATTTGATGTGGACGGCTTTGGGGGAGCCCAGGGAGTATTCGAAGTCACTCCTATGGAACAAAGGAAGAATGAGGCACAACCTCACCCACGGGGCAGCGTGTGGGCTGGGACCTGCAGCGAGGAGCCAAGCTAGTGCCCTAACCACTGTACCCTGCTGCCTCTCCAGCCCCGCTGGAGGTACGCCATGGGCGAGTCCCCAGATTTGATGTGGACGGCTTTGGGGGAGCCCAGGGAGTATTCGAAGTCACTCCTATGGAACAAAGGAAGAATGAGGCACAACCTCACCCACGGGGCAGCGTGTGGGCTGGGACCTGCAGCGAGGAGCCAAGCTAGTGCCCTAACCACTGTACCCTGCTGCCTCTCCAGCCCCGCTGCCTGGGCGCGGCGTGGCCATGCTGCCTGGTGGCTCAGGTCACTGACAGAGGGGAGGCGTTTGCTCTCAGCCTTAGTGGCGCGCCTGCCCACGTGGGGGAGGCTCATGTGCTATGCTCCAGAGTTCACAGGTTCAGTGCTGCCCACAGACAACCGGGCTCTGCCGCCATCACACAAGGCTCTGAACTGGGCCAGCGTCCAGTCTGGCGGACGACCCCCGGTGAGCCCAGCTCACGTTTCAGGTGCTAAGGCTTTTCTGTTCCCTTCAGCTTCACCCCTCCACTAGCAGCACCGCAGCCCGTTCTGGGGGCAGCAGCTCTTAGCTAGCAAAGGGCTATTCTGGCTAATGCCACTCATTAAAATGCCAGGGTCTCCAGCAATCAGAAACCCTCTCGCCTATGATGCTGACCGGAGCTGCATCCCAGGAAGTGGAGGGGAACGAAACCCTCCCGGGATCTAGTCCCAGACGGCCCACAGAACAGGAACGATCGCCTGGAGGGCGTCAGGCGGAAGGGCCAGGCGTTGGCTTCCCCAGCTGAGCCTTCACCTGCCGCCCATGAAGGGCTGCGGCCGAGCCCAGCTCACCCTGCTGTGTGGTGGCCAAGGCCAGTCCCTTGGGGATGGGAAGGCTGCTGGGAAAGCGGGGGGCGGGGAGATTACGGGACTGTTCAGTACCGCTTGGCGCCGTCGGCAGGGTCGCTCTCGGCGCAGGGCTGGTCCAGCTGGGGCTTGAGGAGATCGCCGAAGAGCAGCGACTGGGGAAAGGAAATCGGGGTGAGTGAACGTGGGCTCTTTCCCCGCTGCCCCGGATTAATGCCAGCACCACGGCATGCCAAGCAGCCAGTGCAGGAGCCACAGGTCGATCCGCCTCCCACGGCCCAC